GGGGCGATATGCTGACTCTGTAAACCGCTTAGAGAGGGCTGAAAGCCCTAGGAAGCGGTATATGTCTAACTGCTATTGCTATTACTATCCAGCCAGAGCTAAAGAAGCTTCTTGGATGAGAATTGAAACGTCTTGAAAGAAAAATAAGAAAGTCCAGGTGGTCTCCTAAAAAAAATCAACTTACTATTCAAGTCATTAGGAAGAAATCCAGTCCTTTCTTACTTTGCAATGCAAACATGTGCAGTCCTTGGGAAACCTATGAATTAATCCAGAGAGTTATGGTCCCTATTCAAACAATTCTTGGAAATACTCAACTCTTTTATTATTTCCCTTAGCAGACTATAACTCTGTGAAATTGATCTTAATGTCATTGGGGTCTCGTAATCTTGGAGGTGACCTCCACAAAAAAATGAGTTCCAAAAGGCTCTTTTGAGTCGAATATAATTTGTGGCAACTACATGGATATATCGATATAATTTTCTTGGCAACAACACAGAAGTGGCCTGCCATTGGCCTCTTTGGGGGGGATTTTTTTAAAATGAACTCTCCAGCCTAGGACCTGATAGAGTTGAAAATGAAATAAGATATATGGGGTCCTTCTATGCCTCCCTGGGCATAGAACTAAGGCACAAAAACAGACAGTGAAATTGTGGTGGTACATTCACAGCGTGACCTCTGAAAATGATTTTGTGGCAAACTCATCTGGTATCAGATTGATGTCAATGGATCCTAGCTTGAGCATACTCAGTCAGCAAATATGTATTGACATTGAACGGGTTCAGGTCTCCGGAGCAGATGAAATGCATCTAACTGTATCGAAGGGAATTCTTGATGGAACTTGCTGAAACTTGGTGTGTTCTCTATGAGGAATCGTGCAAAATGGGGAAAGTAACAGATGAACGAACATTACTAATAAATGGTTGATGTTGTTGCCCCTCATTTCGAAAAAAGGCAAAAGAGTGGATGGCGAGGACTACATTTTAGTCCTTGGTATTAGGAAGATGCTAGAGCAGATCGTAAACGGATTGATCCCAAAATGTAATGATTACATTTGATTGATCAAGGGTGTGTTTCAGTGGTGGGATTCAAATAATTTAACAAGCGGTTCTCTGCCCTAATGACCATCTGGGTAGGTGGGGCTCAGTGGTCATGTGACTGGGTGGGCGTGGCCAACTCAAGGTCACTCANGCAAGTCACTCCCATCCGGTCACATGTTCAGCAAGCCACTCCCACAAAGGAAGCCACACCCACAGAGTAGGTTCCAACAATTTTTGAAACCCACCACTGACCCAGATGGATATTTCTTCCAATATGTGCTATAATACAATGACTGTCGGAGATGGTGGTTTGCAAGATGTCAAAAACTGGATTTCTAACAGGGCTGCATCTCCAACCACTAGCATTTTGGGTAGAAGTCCAGTTTAGGGATGTATATCAGATCTGATTTAGAGCTGCAAAAGCAATTATCCACCTTCCCTCTTCCCTTGATTTTTTCATGGAAAAATTGGAACCCGGGAAAACGGAAACGCATAAAGCATTCATTTTTTTACTTTCGTAAAACTCAGTTGACTTTCTAAAAACAGTATGATAAATAACTTTGCACGCTACTAAAAATTGATCCATGGAAGTGTAGTTTATATTACATATAACTATACAATTTACTGTTTTAATTTATTTTTTAAATACTTTAATTTTTGTTATGCGTGGAATTTCAAAGGGCTGAATTCCAAGGACTAAAAGCATTTTGAACCTGACGTTACTTAGCATTTTTCTCTGAAGTTAAACAGAGAAAGAATAAAAGGGAAGTTTTCTGCATTTGCCCTTGATCTTCTTCCTGAATTTTTGCAAAACGCTTGGAATCAAATCTAGTATCGAGTATAGAGCAGTGATGGGGAACCTTTTCGGCACCGGGTGCCCAATCTGGAAAGCATGGGGGGGGGATGTGGCACATGCAAATGCCCCACAGCACCAGGAACCCTAAGACTAGCATGCACACCACCACCAGATCTTCGGGTTTCTGGTGCACATGGTGGTCTTTTCAAGTGCCGGAGAACAAGGAACCCAAGACCAGGTGCCCAATGCACACAGGCACACCGGCCAAGTGGTCTTTTGATTTCTGGCACTGCAGTGCATGTGAAGATCAGGTGGCAGATGCACATCCATGTGCCAGAAACCAGGACAGGAGCTGGTGATGGCACGCGTGCCCCACAGAGAGGGCTCCGTGTGCCACCTCTGGCGCACTGGCCCTAGGTTCGCCATCACGGGTATAGAGTATAAATCCTTCCATTCCCCACCATCCAGAGCCGAGGTGGCGCAGTGGTTAGGGTGCAGTACTGCAGGCCACTTCAGCTGACTGTTATCTGCAGTTCAGCGGTTCAAATCTCACCGGCTCAGGGTTGACTCAGCCTTCCATAGCAGTTAGACTTATATACCGCTCCATA